TTTGTTCAAAAGCCAGATAAACGGTTTGGATGGCTGTGAAGACCTTTTTTTTGTTGCATTTTCCAAGTTTCTTTCTTTCTCTAATAAAAACTAGACAATAAAAATAAAATATGTAACCTAACAAAAGTAAAATCCAGTAAAAATTAAATTAAATCAAATTAATTTCAACTTTCATTTTTTTTGTACAAACATATATTCTTATTTTATTACTTTTATGACAAAAATAAATAAAACACATTTATTGATAAATTTTCACCAATTCTTGTTTTAAATTACATAATACTCCCCTTTTTAAAAAATATGTGTTTTAGAATTTTTGCACATATGAAGAAAACATATGAAATTTTAATTACCAATACATTATTATTTCTTATAAATTTTTACTAATAAACTTTTAAGAAACACAATTATGTTTTTTTGAAACATACAATTTATCGTTAAATAATGCTTTGAAAATGAAAAAAATTGTATGTTATTAAAAGAATTTTTTTTAATAAATTTTGGAAATGATTCAGACACATAGGTAATTGTATTGTTAAATACTAATTCGATCTAAATTCTAGCTGACAATTTTCCTAAATAGATTGATTTTCTGTTTTTAAACTACCCAATATATTTTATGGACTTGTATAAGTAAAAAAATAGGTAATACATTTTAGAATATGAATTACAAAAATATATTTATAACAGTCACAGCTTGTAAAGCTTCGAATACCAATCAGACTTTTAATTTTCTCTAAAGTAACATTTACAGCCTTTAAAGCCAAAATATCTACAACCACAATTCTAAAATCAAAGCCTAATGCGAAAATCATTACCAATCGGACACCTAAATTACCCGAACTATCTGAACTTCAAATGGAAGCCAGATTTTTTCGGGTATGTTTTGGTTTCTATTTTTACTATCTAAACCAAAAACGAACAGAAAATAGATCCTCTAACCCTCTAACCCTCAACCAGAACGATCTAATATCTGAAATGCCCAATCAGAACTGATACCCAAATGTACATGCCTAATTCATACGAAGAAACGTTAGTCATACATATCCAAATTATATGTTATTATTTTGGTTTTTTCTCTGATCCAACTTCAGAAGTTTTTTATTTGTCAAGGGATTATATTAAACTTAAAGAAAAATAAAACATGGCCTCAGGCCCATCTGTCTAGCTCACTGGGGCAGGGGGAAAGCCCTTTAGGGTACTTTTTGCCAAACAATCGGCTTGAGTATTTTGGAGACAAGGGAGAAAAAAAGGAGATATCAATGAAGGCATAAGAGATTTGGTGGATATCTTCAATGAGTCCAAAAATCTCTTTGATCTGTATGTCGTTGTTAATTGCTCTGATGAGCGTTTGATTGTTAGATGAGCGTTTGATTGTTAGAGGGCATCTTGATCTTTGTGAGACCAAGATTCACTTATGCGATGATTCCTACGCGGAGGGCCAGAGCTTCCGAGACGATTGGTGAGCTGACGAAATCCTGGGTGGTTGATCCTTGCTTCTTGATGCTATTTGTCGATTCCATGATGATCCAAGCTAGTCCTTCCTTGTTCGACACTTTGTACCAAGCCACATATGATCGACATATTGGAGTCTGATGGTCTGCATGTTGGTGTGCTTTGTTTGCTTGGCTTCCAGTTCGCGTTTTTGTTTCCTTTTTCTTCAAACCCCGGGTGAAACACCATTCTCTTGCTAATCTTATGCCTTTTGTAATGACTTCCTCATGTATTATCTGTTGATCTTCAAATATCAGAGTGTTCCTGGCTGTCCAGAGGGCCCAGCAGATCCATGGAAGGATAGACCCTATGACACCAGAAGGAGGAAGGCAGATACTCTTCCTGAAAGCGACTAGGAAGTCTTTGAAATCCGTGGTAGTAGCTATGTGAACTACTTTGTGTAGAGGTATCCCCTTCCACACTTCTTTAGCGAAAGGACAATCGAATAAAATGTGCTTTGATTTTTCATTCTCATTACATCTCAGTGTAGGTTCTCTCCTAACGAAAGAGCTCTTTGGATGATGCACCAAGTGAAGACTTTCATTTCTGGGTAACAGTCACTAGACCAGAATCTCGCACCCAATCAAAGGACTCAGATGATGGGTTTTGGGTGGTATATATTTTCATTGAGGCTATGGAGTAGCCTGATTTGGTTGAGTATACCCCTAATGAGGTTGGTTTCCAAATGACAATGTCTTCTGATCCTACTTGGCTTGGTTGAAGACATAGTACTAATTGAGGTATAATCTCTTTGGCTCTTTTGGTATTCCATTTCATATCGTCTGTTAGGAGATCCGATACTGTTAATTCTAGCTCTGCTTCCAGGATAGGTCCATAAGATTTTATCTGTTCTGTTAGAGATATCCATGAGTCTTGCCATACTCTGGTTGTCTGTCCATTACCTATAGCCTTCCCTAGGTAGTCTTTAAGAAGATTTCTTTCATGTAGGATGCTTCTCCACCCGTGTGAGCAAGCTGAAGGAGTTTTTGTAGTTAGAAAAGCTTGCTTATGATAGTATTTTCCTAGCAAAATTCTCGCTAATAAGCAGTATGGTTTTGTTAGGATTCTCCATGCTTGTTTAGCAAGTAGAGCCTGAATATCTCTGAAGCCAAGTCCTCATCCTGCTTTTGGCTTTGACATTTTATCCCAACTGACCCAACACATTTTCTTTTTGTCCTCAGAGTCGTTCCACCAGAATCGTGTTAGTACTGATTGGATACGCTTGCATATGCTTGCAGATAGCTCAAAACATAACATGGAATATGTATGAATGGTCGTAAGTACTGATTTGAGCATTGTGCCGGCTTTTAAGAGGAACCTTGATCTAGTTGATACTCTTTACCTGATTCAATCCACGATGGATGTGAACATATCTCTTTTTCTCCTCCCAAATGACCACGAATCATGAGCTTGAATGACTATATGAACCTTAAAAACTTTAGAATTAAATACTTTGGATTTTTTGGATGAATATATAGAAAAATTGAGAGAGATATAGTTTTTGTGGACAAAATATAAGAAAGAATGAGTCAAAATCGATTTTTGATGCTTTAAGAGTTTTATATTGGTTGTTCATGGTTGTTAGGTGAATTGATGACAAGTATTTAAATTTGGTTTCTTTATTTTTATTTTTATTTTCATTTTCATTTCACATATAAAATATATAAAAATAATTTGAATTATTTAACAACTTTTGTAAGATTAGGATTGAGACATATAATAAAAAATCACAATACTTAAATATCATAAGTTTTAGTTATCTATCATTGTTCACTATATTCTCTTTATGTGGCATAATGAAATATTCATCAAAATCTAATATCATAATAAATAAACTAGCAGCTTTTATATATTATTTTAGAAAATTAAACAGGAGCAATGAATTTGGTCCATAAAAACAATATTTATTTAAAAACATGCAAAATCAAGAAAAAAAAATAAAGCCATGTATTTCACGAAAAGAATAAAAAGATTATATGATAGAAGTTACAGCATAAAAAACTAAAACATATGTTATTCGCTATAAACAAAATCAGGAAAATTTTAAAAAGAAATATGAAAAAATATAGAGTATGTGATAGCACAGATAATTATAATTTTATGAGAAATTTAAAATTTAAAATTTAAAATTCAAAATTTAAAATTTAATTACTTATTTATGGAATACAAAAATTATTTAATAAAATAGTTAAAATTTAAGAAAAATTACCTAAATAAAATAATTTACTGGTTTACCCGATGGTTTAACTGATAACCGAATCAATGAACTCTGTATCATAAAGAAAGCGGGATTATCTGTTTTCTTTACAAAATTGTAATTTTTTTTCTTGTTTATTTATAAAGTATGGAAGAAAATTGGAATTGGGATTGAAACACTCTGGTGCAACTGGAAGGATATACTTAAAAAGTAAAAACATTGATCTTTGATTCAAAGATTTGGAGAGAGAGAGAGGCCTAAAATCAAATGGCTTTGTTTTGACGAGGCCAATTAGTTTCTTGATCTTATTACTGAGGTCCCGTTGATGTCTCCAGCAGCTTCTCTCTCCTCTTGACTTTTATCTTTTTGATTCTTCCATCAGTTTCCATATTTTCAATTATATTTATTTATAAAGGATGTAAGAAAATTCGAATTGAGATTGGTCTTTGATTCAACTGGAAAGATATACTTAGAAAGTAAAAACATTGGTCTTGATTCAAAGATTTGGAGAGAGAGAGAGAGGCCTAAAATCAAATGGCTCTGTTTTGACAATAGACGAGGCCAATCTGTTTCTTGAACTTACTTAGGAAGACTTTGACTTATATCTTTTTGATTCTTCCATCAGTTTCCATGCTCGAAATATATTTTCATTTTTCTTTTCCTTATGATGCTACTATGACGAAGAGCGTTGTAGTTTTTAGTGAAACTGGAAATGTTAATGATATTTTTAAGTTAGTATAATGTGTTGGAAAAGTGTGTTGTTTTAGAAGTCCTTTCAACATAGCAAGTAGAGTGAAGTGTGTATTTTCACTATCTGAGTTTGCAGGAGAAATAGTATGAAGAGTGTACAAAACAAAACAAAACAAAAGGTCTGACTTACAAAAAGTCGGTTTATATATGCATACTAAAAATAAAAACATGCACATGCATAAACATCATCACTCTCTATAATCAGCTACCTCATCAGGTAAATTACTAGGAATCTCAGATTTGTCGTTAGGACTGGAGCTAGAGAGATGGTAGAGTATATCCTTGAAGTAGTCTGCTCGAAGACATGTCTGGAAAATGCAGAGAGAAGCTAGGGTTACCACCATAAGGGTCCTGAAAACCAAAACAGAAGTCACCTGAAGTTATGTTTGAGAGACAAGCACTCAAGCAGAGCCGTGCTCACTTGAGAAAAAAAGAAACACTTGCTTAGGGCAACATTTTTTTACAAAAAGTAATTAAAAGCGTTTTTATATAAATAACCATAAAACGTAATCTCCTTAGTAGCTTTAAGGTAAGCAAAAAAATAGATTAAAATGAATTCATGGTTTATATGAAATCAATTACAAAATACGGAAACATGGTTTAGTAACTTATCTTGATTTATACAGTAGATATTTGAAGTTTCAGGTGGTGGTTTTGGTCTAAAGTTTCTATATTTTTTTTTTTTTGCGTTGATTTATGAACTGCTTGGAGATAAAATGAGTCTTAACGAATGAAGTTCAAGACTTTTCTTCTCTGTATTAGTGAATGAGTCTGCAAAAGAAATTGTGTTTGTACTAGTGAACATCTTGAGTTCTAGTGTTTAACTAACCAAGTGGCCAAGTCTTCTTGTTATAGAGTAGTGATTCTACTACAGAAGAGATTGGACAATGCATGTGAACATTTAGACATCTACTTGTTATCTAATGAAGTGGCTATTTATTGGAACAGGGTTTGGCTGAGCATAAAGATTCGCATGGTGCACCGCTTTGTCCTTGCAGGTGAACAGGGTTATCATTGTTTTTAAGAGCATTTTTAAATTTCTTCTATCAACCCCAGTAAGTCTGCTATCTGGTGCAGACAGTATGATGATAAAGCAGCTGAGGTTGGACAGGGATTTTGGAACTGTCCTTGTGTTCCAATGAGAGAGAGGTAAGAAGTAGCTCCATGTCATTCTGGGTGTGTGTTGACGATTTATTGTGATAGTACTAAAGTTCTTATCATTTCGTGCATCAGGAAGGAGTGCCATTGTATGCTTTTCTTAACCCCTGATAATGATTTCGCCGGGAAGGATCAGGTAAACCTCAAAATCAATTTTACTTAAAGCTTGAGATTCTGTTTTAGTGTAAACAAACCAACTCAATAAGTATTTTCCCCTTTCTCTTCATTTGTTTTGGTGCAGACAATTACGTCAGATGAAATCAAAGAAACAACAGCTCACATGTGAGAACTGATTCAGAGAGAAAAGTCTCACTCACCATTCACCAATGCAGCATGTACATTGATAGCCATCATCATCTTCTTCTTCTTCTTCGTTCTTCTGTACAACTATTTCCCTTGTCCGATAAATACTGTCTTTAGTATGATCTTGCTTTTGCAAATGATATAAAAGGATCTTACTTTTATGCTGAAATCTTCAGTAAGCTTTCATGAGATATTTGTTACTAAAAAGGATTTCACTGATTATGAAATAGAAACAGGGCATGCTTTACCACACCTCAAAGCCAAAGCTTCGGTTCCCTTATGTCTGCGGCCTCTCCTCTTGAATTATTATCATTTGATGCTTCCATAAGTTCCCATGCTTGAATTGGTTTGCCTTTACGATGCTTCCATGAGAAAGAGGAATAAAAGGGAGCTGGGATTAGTAGATTCGGGTATGGTTAGTAGAAAGTGTTGGAGAAATATATTTGTTGACTTAAAATCTTTAGTGACGTATGTATTTGGACTATAACTTGGAGTATTCATTATTCATGACAAGCATGCGTACGAATACGTGAGAGTGAAGCTGTATTATTCTCCTTTGGAAAATACAATAACAAAGATATGTACATACTTGCAAGCACTGGTCTTTACAGGGATGTAACTCTTTTGAAAACAAAACACAGAACACCGAGTGATCTTTGTTATAAATTGCTAAGTTTGGTACAGAGAGAGAGAGAGAGAGAGAACTCAACGTAAAACAGAATCAATCATAAATTGGTTAATATATCAACCGAACTTGCAATTATTACGTCAAAACTAGATAAGAACAAATTGATTATAAAACATATACTGTTTCTAAAATAAGAATCCCAAAAATCATTACAAGAAGAAGAGATGAATCTTTGTATGAGATTATTATCTATCTTTTGAGAGAACTCTAGCTAGGGTTTTTCTTGATTTTAGCTCTTCAATGATTTTCTTGGTGATCAGTTCAGATCCGTAGGTTTTGGAAGAGATTCTCAACTCTGACTTCAGCTTTTTTGGCTTTGATTCTACACTTCATGGCTTTAATTCGAGCATCGAACCTCTCAATCCTCTCCGATAAGGCTTTGGCCATCATCTTCATCATCACAGGTCCTCTCGAAAAATCATCATGTGAGAACTCCAATTCCCCAGGGCCCTTTTACGACAGTTTTGAAGCCATGAGAGCGAAGCTTCGCCACAAACTCTGTTAAGTTTCTGCCCAATAATACTCCAGAGGATGATTTCAGAAGGATGTCGCTGCGAAGCCTTTTCATGTCCCAAACGATGAAACTGTTGTTGTTGGTTTTGCTCCACGAGATGATCTGATCCGATGAGGGATCATCCACAATATGATATAGCTGGACGTACAAGGAACAAGAAGATTCCGTTGAGAGTTTGCGAACCATCTTCGTTGATCGAGTTTCAAAACACTAGAGGTTGGGATCTCGTGGTAAAGATAAAGATCGAGAAGAAGCAAAAAATCCAAAACTGAATACGAAGCAAACCCTAAACCTCAGAGAGATAAAACAGAAATCGAGAGAAACTTTGTGAGTAGCTCTTTGGTGGAAGCTGTAACTATATATAGAGAGAGATTGATTTCAATGGTCATGTGATTAAATTTTCCTTTTTTCTGTTTTAGCAATCTAACGGTCAGAATTTGGTAAGGAAGTTATCAACGGTCATAAAATACAAAGTCGGTTTAACATCAATTTTGTTTTTCCATGTGTCTGTCACAAAACAAGACCGGCACCGTTTCATCCCTGCCAAGCGAAGCGCGTGATCAAACGCTAAACGCCGTTTAATCGATTGTGTTTCTCTACCACCCTCCCTTCATTCCTGCGCCAAATTGGAGGAGAATCTTGCTTAGACTTGCGAACTCTGTATCCTATAGAAACTGGGATTACCTGATCTTCTTTAAAAAATTTGGACATTAGTTTTTCTTTCTTTTTTTAGTTTATAAGGGATGGAAGAAAATTCGAATTGAGATTGGTCTTTGATTCAAAGATTTGGAGAGAGAGAGAGGCCTAAAATCAAATGGCTCTGTTTTGACGAGGCCAATTAGTGTCTTGATCTTATTAATGAGGTCTCGTTGATGTCTCCAGCAGCTTCTCTCTCCTCTTGACTCTTATCTTTTTGATTCTTCCATCAGTTACCGTATTCGAATAACATTTTCACTTCGCTTTGGGTTATGATGCTACCATGAAGAAGAATGATGTTTTAAAATCCTTTCAACATAGCAAGTGAGGGTGAAGTGTATAAGTAGTCTTTGTTATAACTTGTAAGTTTGGTGTTTTGTTTTGGTTGTTAAATATAGAGTAGTGAAAGATAAGTAACATAAAACAAAACTAGAACTTGACCCGCACCCCCTTGCGGGTGCTTGATTTAACTTGTGTTTAACGTAAATTCATAAACCGTTGATTTTTTACAACTTTTTTTTTATGTTTTGTAATTTACATATAAAATAAAATATATTATTGTAGAATATAAATATTTAATTATAATTTTTATTTGTACATAGTAGTATATTAGAAATTTTATAACTTGATGCAATTTGATGTAATCGTACTATTCATATACTAACATGTTGGTTTTTTGTTAATTTATTTTAAAATAAAACAAAATACTAAAAATAATTTTTTTTTGAATTAGTTTTCTATGAATTATCATTAATTTTGTGATATTTTTTTTTAAATTGAACTCACACAATTTTATATTTGACTAAATTAAATAAGGTAATATTCTATTTAAAAATTATTTTATATAATGTATACAATATATTTCGGTTTGTGTTTTTATTTCCATCACAGAGAAAGAAAAATCATTGAAATTAATTAACTTAAACTGATTTTAAATGCAATAGTAAATAAAAAGAAACACAAAAGGACAGTATTTAATTTATTGTAAATACAATGGCTAAATGTACAAATAAAAGAAAATACTTAATTTACTATCCATATTTCCAAACAATGTTTCATTAATCCTACTATCCTTATTTCCAAATAGAAGCAAAAGGTACTTCAGTTTTAATAATATAGATAATGTTTTGAAATTAATTATGTTGAGACAAAAGAAGGATCTGCTGTGAGAATCAACGAGAGAAATACATATCACAATGTTTCTAAATCAAATATATCACTAAGTTTTGTGAGTTTTAATGATACTAGTGGTTTTGCCAGCGCAACGCGCCAGATTTTCTATGATTATTTCTATTAATTATTTTAATATATTATAAACTAAGAACTTTTTCTTATATTTTAGAAAATAAAATATATATCAAAGATATATTAATTTGATTATACTTTATGCATAATGGATTTGGTGAGAATAGCAAACAAAATCAAAGTTTAAATATATGCATAAAATTTTATTAACTATTCACAGAAGATTTTTTTGTATTTTGTATTAATCTATGAAATACTTTGTAATAATTAGAGACTATGTCCTTATATTTTTTTTGAAAAAAACTACACATGGACACTCAATAGTTATATCTCATTTAACTATTATCATTTCAAAATTAGAAAATGAACTTGTTTTGTAAACTAAATCTCTAATGGTACATGAAGTTGGATATTCTAAACATGGAGTTGTCTGTTTTATTAATTTTATTACTATTATTCTTTTTGTGATATAGTTTTATTATATTGGTATCCTATAGAATGTTTTAATATTCTATTTAAGAAATTGTTCAAAAAAGTAATTTTGTTAGTTTGAAAAGTATAATAACCAAACTTTAGTTATTCCTTTTAATTATCATATGTAAGATTAATTGATAGATTCACCATTTTACATATTATTAATATTTTGAAGATAGGTTTTTAAAAATATATATTTTTCAAAATAAAAAGGGTTAACATCAAGTTCAGTATACAAAAAAATCAAATCGTCAAAGGAAGAAATTGGATACATAAACTAAATCTTTGGATGATTAACATTAAATTAACTAATATAAACAAATCCTAAAGCATTCAAAAATTTCAAATAATAAAGACAATCAGAATCTAAAGCACATATGATTTGAAAATCTTCTCCATATATATTTAAACACATAGAATTTAGCAAATAACATTAATACTATACCAATCAACACCCTCTTTTGATAGTTTTAAATATAAATTTCTGAAAATCATTTCTCTCAAATTTAAATAAAAATCAAATAAGGAAATAGAGATTTTTTTATTAAAAACCAATAAATTAATTTATACACGAAATATTTTAAACTTTGAATTGAAATATCTTAAAAGTTAGTTTGGTATTTATGCTAACTTATTGAAAATTAATTAAAAAGACTTTAACAAGAAAACAATATCTTAAAACTTTTTTACGATAAGGTGTATATGCTATTAAAAATATTCACATATAATATAAAATATCAAAATATGTCAATCAATGTCATGATTTAAAATGTCAACAAATATAAACTTAAAATTTACAAAAACAAATATATTAAACTAACTGAAATTGTCAACAAAAATAAACAAAAAACAAAAGTAAAAAGAAACTAACTTGGTTTCCTTGTCGACTCAATTCGTTCTTCCAATTCTACAGGACTGTTTTGTGTTGAAGGGTATGAGAGTTGAACTATGTTGGGGGTCAAGGATTCCAACCAAGACATTTCAACCAAAACTATAGGAACTATGTTTAGGCTATGAATTTTTTTATATTTTTATGATTTGTAATAGATGAATAATTATTTTGTCACTTTTATTATTTATATTTTTATCATCTGTATGTGTTAAATGATAATAGCCATTTAGTGATTTATTTCGAAAATAAAAATTTAAATAAAATATTTTTTAAATTATGTGAAACTATATTAAAACTACAAATAATACAATATGTTTAGAGAAATTTCATAAGATAATCTTTTTAGTTTATTTTCATTAAAAAAAATCCAGAGGAAAATAACCAAAAGAGATTTTATTGAAGGAAAAATATACTCGTATACCTATATTAATTAATCTTAGAAATATTTGTTAGAGTTAAGGGGTGTAGTTTTGG